GTTGCATAATGTGTACCACAGCAGTGCAACCCAGGGGGCACTGGTTGGAGTTGCTTTTGTGACTCAGAGAAAGGCCATAAAGCGGGAATGAAAGGGGGTCGTCACAGCACAAAACCAATCCCAGACATTTTAATGATGACTGAAGGACTGCGTTTGGTCACTGGGTATAAAATGTCAGAACAGTCAGGGGAATGAATCCACAAATATGCAGCACATCAATTCTTGTGAAACTGTCACACCATGCAAACTCTCTGCACAAGAATCACTGCAATGCTTGGAATTAGTGAACAGTAGAGAGTATAATGCTGTGGTATTTAAAGAATGAAGCTCAACAGTTTCACACGGTACTGATCATTGTTTGAGTGACAAGCTGATTATAAATGGTATGATAATGCTCCATTAGTGGGACAACATAATCTCCTTATTTCATCTGTTACAGTTCAAGCTTCTCACCATAAATGGACTAGCTTTGACTTCCCATGCCTTTGTTTTGTTATTGATCAGCAAACTTGTGTACATTAGTGGCCTAGAGTTGGTAAATGGAGGAACCACAGTGAAAAGTGAGACACCATTAGTATTCAGCACAAGATTTACCAGAGGCTGCCACCCCTCCCTCCCTTCCTCTTGTCAGAATCTCTTTCACAAAATTTAGACTCGTTTTATGATTCATGCACACACATCTTAAAGGCATCAAAACCCCACAATCTTTAACTCGGTGATTTATGTTCGCACTAAAAAACTCCTTATTAATGCAAATGTCACTGATGTGCCGGGCTTACCTTTTGCTTACATAGCTGACAGCAATACCTCACAATGCTCCATGATGGACTCATAATACCTGCACTCACTCATGTCTGACATTTATCTCTTTCATGATTTATGACTCACTGCCATGACCTGCACACACCATTTCCTTTCTTCAATCTTCAGTTAGGCTTTTTAGCTTTCAGGGATTTCTTTTTGCGCTAGTCCTAAATGCCTCGCCCTATGTTTTACCTCTCAGACTAGCGTCTTCTTCCTCTTTCCACTCTCTTCATCATTTTATCTCTTCTATTTCTATCCTACCCTCTCCCATCCTCTCTATCCATTTCAGCTTTTGAGCACATTAGTATTCTGTTCAGTCCTAGTCGGTTGAAGCAGGGAGGCTGTGACTGTCTGCTCCTCTGGTTTGAACCCGCTGAAGTGAGGCATCCCGGCACGGCAGAGCGCTTTATTCATCAGTGTGCAATTGCTCAAACAGACACACAACCTCACAAATAAACCCTTTGCTAAATCTCTACCTTTCTCTGTTTCTCCCCCATTCCTTCTACCCTGCTATCGCCCTCCCTCTCATGCGTCCTGGTAAGTGGTGCTTTTGCACTGTGAGGTGCCCTGAGTGCAGTTGGAGCTGACAGATTTCATTAGAGCTGTAATGCAGCCTCTCAGAGTCTGCCTTGATAAGTCCTGCAGGACAACACAGACCCCAGACATCACGACACAGCACGTAACACACAACGCAGCACGCCAAACACAGCATGACTAAGCAGAAAAATGGGCGAAAAGGCACAGCATGACACATTGTCTTGACAATCACCTTGAAATAACAATCACAACAGCTTTATTCACAAAAATTGAATATTATTTTGGGCCATAAAAGTACTCTAGTTGAACAATGCCCCAGCGTGTAAAATCCAAATGCAGTATTGACCTAGCATCCTGGAGGACTGGGCTGCACTGTAACATTGTTTTTTTCCGTGAAAATCTGCTGTATCTTAGTAACCCAGATGGCATTTGTAAAGACATTCAAGTGTTCAGTGGAGCAGAATATGCTAATTCTCACATCAATGCCAACTTAAGCAAAGCAGGATGCTCCATCTCCCACTGGGGAAACAGGATTATTTCTGACAAGTTCTCACTGACAGAAAAGGTAAATTGCAAATGATTTTCAAAACTTAGCTTGGTGGTCACTACTCAAAATGTCACTCCCAGTCCTGACAAATTCTTTCAAATATTTTTCTTTAACTTATTTCAGCCCAAGATTATGTGTATCAAGTCATATCCTTTGTGACACCTTTCTTGTCAGTTTAAAACTTGCAGTAAAAAAGTTTGGCTTGCACAGGCTGTAACTTAAAAGAAATCAAATATGACTGCACAGTGAGCAGCAAATAAAAGAAAGTTGTTTAGAATACTTTTATTATTTCAGACAGCTAATATCAGTTACTTTGATAGTTTGAGGATGTTTATTTTACATTTCTGTACATCCAGGGCCATCATTAAACCTCCCACATCTCTTGTCCCTACCTTGCTGAACATCCCCGTCTACCCCAGATAAATCTGTGCAATAAACACGGTAAACTTTGCTGCTTAACTCCTCCATAATGCTGCCACTTTCCTGCCTTTCGTTCCAGCCATTGAGTTCAAGTAGTGCTTTTATTCCTTGTCAATGCATATTTGTTCTCGTCTATCACCATGTTGTCTGGCTGTAAAGGGTAATTGGTGTCATTTAAAGCAGAGAATACATTGTGAAAGCATGCATTTTCCCCTCTGTTTCCAGTGTAAGATTCTCTGTCAAGGCCTGTAAATCAATCGATTTGGATAGAGCAAAAATCAATCAAACTAGATGCAGTTTTTTTTCTCTGTATTCTCCTTCGTACTGCATGAAATTCAATGTACTCCTGCAAAACCTTCTCAAGCACTAACACAGTCTTTTCAAATGCTGTAAGAGAGGTTAGTTTGTAGGACGCCTAAATATTCCTCTGCATATGGCCCGCGGCATATCAACACTTCTCTTGTGGTCCAAAAACTTATTTTAAAGAAGAACGCAGATAGCATTGTAGGCGAGGTGAGGAGTATATAAAAAGCTTAAAATAGGGTCCTACAGCCTCTTCATTTTGAAAAACGTGAGTCAGCCTTGGTATTGTTGGTATGCCATTGAGCAACTAATGACTGGTACGAACAAGAAATAGAGAGGCATTCAAAGCAGCTACAATGCAATCAGAAACTCTGTGAAATAGTGTGGGTGTGTGTTCTTTAGCTTTTGCTTTACAAATCATCAGCTCGTCTCCAAAGCCGTTGTTTGATTAAAAAAAACAAAAAAACAAAAAAACAAGGGACATACACTAAAACTCCTTTCATGAAACACATTTGAGTGATTCATTTGCTTTTTTAGTGCAGCAGATTCATGACAAAATTGTTATCTACTTTTCATACAGGCTGTGTAAATATGACTACTGCTAAACAGCTTTGTGTTAATGTTTGCAATGCATGTAAACAGGTTAGAGCATTAACACCTTCAACGTGAGCAGCATGGCTCAAGCAACTCCCATACTGGAGAAGTCAAGACAGAGAAGCACACACTTTCAAAGTCAGAGGAAAAGTCTTTATCAGGAGAGCTTAAGCACTTAGATCTTTTTCTTATACTGCTTGAAAAAAATGTTTTTTTTTTTTTTAAACTTCCAACAGAATTTGGAGGACACCCATTCAAAGACAAGAGACTTCTGCAACTATACGGTACATAATGTGTTGTGATTAGGGCTGGGCGATAAAACGATAACGATATATATCGAAAATTAATTTCCCTCAATATCAAAATAAAACATGGTCAATATGCTTTTTGATAGTTGACATTCTGCCATGTTTTGGTAGACTATACGAATAGCCAATGAAAAGGGGAGTTGCTCCTGGTCCCTTCCGCACTGAACCAATCGTGTGCTGAATTGGAACCAAGAAGCAAACAACTGCGTGGTAACAGGTTGCAGCTACACGCAACCATAGCACTTTAACATGTGAAGCCGACAGCACTGACAGTGACAAAAAAAATGCAGAAATGCAGATGAAGGCTCAACAGATGATGACATCGTCGACAACGGTGGTGTGGGGGTATTTTGTTTTTTTGTGAAGCAGAGACATGAAGCAGAGTAAAGTGCACTAAAAATCATGTCGAGTACATGTTCCCTCAAAGTCGGGGAATACCTCAAATCTTTTTCACCACTTGAAGCAGTGTCATGAGGCAGAGCAGAGGCAATACAAAAGGTTACAAACCCTGAGCGAAGCAAGGAGCCCCTGATGCCTGTGCAGCCGAAACAGCCGACCATTCAGTCTGCTTTCTCTAGCGCAACGCCTTTCGACAAAGCGTCAAAGAGACACAAAGACCTCACAGATGCAGTAGCTTATTGTGTTGCAAAAGACATGCGACCAATGAGCACTGTTAAATTTCATTTTTCATATCGTGATATAAATCGATATCAACTGATATGAAAAAAATATACTGTGATAAACTTTCTCCCACATCGCCCAGCCATAGTTGTGATGCCAAATAGCCAATTATCTGGTTCATATTATAAATCAAACCTATCAATCATTTTATCACTGCTGGTCAAAATAAGTAAAAAGTAAACTCAAAGGTTTTATTTTTGTGTACAAAAAATAAATCTACTGTGGATTACTGTGTTATGATATTATTTAAAAGTGAAACCTCTATATGGGAATGCATTGTGGACTCTGATTACAGGATGCTGAGATAGAAGCTAAAATCATTCAGGAATGGGTAGAGCATTGAACATAGAAATGCTAGATGAAGCATCTGTGGGGAAAGTACTAGTGTGACAAAAATCAAGAGGCCACTAGACCAAACTGAGAGATATGAAGAGGACTGGCCCACTTTATGCTCTGGAATTTCCCAAATTGCAAATAATCTGAAGGGTCTTGAAGGACTCAGCTGTGGCATCTTTCTTTGTAGATGAAAAAACGTCTTAAAAGGTGGGGTAGGCAGGATATGAGGATGTGCCAGTTTTTGGGAGAAATCTTAAATGTAAACACTACCCCTCACAACCAGTTGTGATAATAATGCAGATAAAAACTTCTGATAATTACAAATGGGGCCCAGTCAACAAGGTATCCAGATTAGGTTGTGTGAATGTAGAAAGATATGCAAGGAAAGCAAAAAGGAGCTTGAACTTGTTTTGGCTCAAAAAGCCTCTAAGGGAGGTCACACTCACATGTGAGTGGCTGTAGGCTAGGGCTGGGCTGGTGGTCTGGGTGTAGAAAGAGGTGGTGCTGATGAGGAAAACTTTGATGATTTGTTTAGGTGGAGTTTTATCAGGGTTTAAAAAAGACTTGGGTTCTCTCTTTATTGTGCAGCACAAGGTCGGTTAAGGACAGCCGACTTGAGAACATCATCTGGAGGACGCAGAAGAGCTGAGTGGATCTTCCTCCACAGTGCTGCTTTTTTTACTTTTCGCTTTGACCTCCTGCATTGTGCATTTAAGCTCTCTTCTTTGCCCTGTCTCGGCCTGTGAGTGAGGACTTTATTGTGCTGAGAGTTTCCTCCACGGTCATCTTAGCTGCTTGGTTTTGTGTGGAGAGTTGACCTATGCAGTGACCTCTTCCTCCTTTTTCTCCTGAGAGGATGCAAGATGACCATCATCTTTGAGAGGTCCCTATGGAAAAGCTGCCAGAACTACGTCAGAGGAGTCTTCTTGTCACCTCCCCACAGAGATCAGTCACTGCTTCAGCACTGTGACTTGGTGGATCTCATGCCACTGATGGGCCAGTGGAAAGGAAATGGTCATTTCTTGAGATGAAAAAAACGTCTTAAAAGGTGGGGTAGGCAGGATATGAGGATGTGCCAGTTTTTAGGAGAAACCATAAATGTAAACTCTACCCCTCCCAACCAGTTTTCCCCTCAGCTCCTCCTCTCCCTCTCTGCTCCAACAAGCCCCGCCCACAAACAGACAGATATAATGCAGATAAATACTTCAGATAATTACAAATGGGGCCCAGTCAACGTGAAAGTAAAAAGCATTGGTGCTACTGTAGATGCCAACAGACTACCAGCAAACACAATGTTTGCAGAACTTCTACAACTAGGATAAAGTGACATAGTCCAGGACCCGAGGTAAACAGTTTAGCGGCGCCACAACACGCAGTAGGTCCTGTTTGACAAGAAACACCTTTGTTACAGACACTTGGCGTACTTTGTTAAAGCGGTTTATCTTTCCAGCAGAAAGGTTACAGGGTCTGTAAGATCCAGAAGCGTCCCCCATCATTTATGCTAGCTTTGTTGATGTTGACCTGGCTTTTTAGCCCTTGTCCATTCTACCTCTGTTTTAAGCGCCGGTTGTTCCGCCAGAGTCTCCAGTATTTACCTAATTTTCCAACCAATCAGCTACATAGGTATAAGAGGACACACCGATATCATGATATTCCCAAATGTCATCAGTAACTAATAGCTATTGACTGATATTAAAAGCTTTTTTGTATATACACCACAAAAAAGATGCTTCTTTAACAGATTCCTGCCTACCCCACCTTTAATCTCCTGGTTTGACGCCCTGTTTCTTCTTTGGTGCTCAGGCCTGGGTGAGGAAGACCTTACAACAGACTACAAAGTCCACTAGCCTCCTACGTGAGAGTAGGCACATCTGTTGCTGTTCTGTGATGATGGGTTACACTTCTTTTTCCTCAAAGTCCTCTTTGTCCTAATGTCCCTGAGAAACATGGAGCTTTGGACTGAGTCTGTTATCTTTGAGATTTCTTGAATCAAAGTAACAATCAAAATAAGAGTATATGCCCCTGTTGTCTCCACTAAGGTAAAGCCAGGACACTGCTTTTTTACAAGCAGGGCAGAAAAAATTGAGATTCGCTCTTTTCTTCGCTAGTTGGATGGCAAGGGAGGCAAGTGACATCTGTCATCTTAAGCCTTCACAAATCTTAAGATTTTCAATGCCTGCAGCTGTCTGCTCAAAGATCACAGAGGTCTCTGAATTTATGTGAGTTCAGAGAGATCTCACAAGAGAGCTACAGATAGTACCGTCTTTGCTTCTTTGCCGCTGTCATCTAAAACAGAAATGTAGTAGAGAAACATGACCACTGAAAAATGTCAACTTTAGTTGAAACGCAGCTGTGTATGTCTGTACAATTTGACCTAAATAAGCCTCAAACTTATAACCAAGATAATGCCTGATAACTTCAAAACAAACAGAAAAGCTACTGCTGTGTTTATGTTACTAAAGGATCAAGTGCACCTGTCGAGGAAAGCAAAGACATTGTGGTAAACGAGCACATCCATCAACTCCTCTGAGCCTTTCCCATCTCTCTACCCCTGCTCTGTTTCCTGTTGTGCAGGAAGCGTGGCTAAATCCGCTCCACCCACTGGGCTGAGGGTAAACACTGCTTGGGACAGAGCGACAGAGAAAAAAGGACAAATAGTGGGGGGGAGTGAGCTCATGAGGGATCTGTTTAGAAAATAACCAGAACTGAGGCTCAAATGCAGATAAGCTAAATGAAAGTCAGATGATTAAAAGAATCTTGAATAAAAAGCTATCAAATCAAATCAATCATAAACGATTTTGCAAGATCTGACACAAATAAGGGTCTCTGCAGCTGCACATTTCGAACATAAGAGGCAAGCGATGGCTCATTAACACAGGAAAGAGTTTGGCAGGAAAAGAACGACTGGGTTAATTTGGGCTACAGGAAGTCTTGTGCTTAGACAGCCAAGTGTTTCCTGCTGGATGGAAAGGTGTGATCAGTTAGGCGCTCACTGATCTGCAGCTGCAGACCCTTTTATGTACCACTAACAAACCATTGTTCCAGATGTTAGTGTAGATGGGGGGCTGTTTGACTTTTAACATATGCTCTATTATAGGGGGATCACTTTACTATTGCAGTTCTTCCATCTTCTGTAAGTACGAAAGTAGCTGTGCACAAAGGCCCTTCCTGTGCTTTAAAGATCCACTTTGTATATAGCGTCAGATGCTGATTCTTCTTGGTATGTTATTACTGTTTTGCTGCTGCTGCTCTACTGAACAACTGAAGGGTACTTACAGACAGGATTTCACTGAAAGACAGAACAAGCACATTTGGTTTTATTTGCATACACTGATTACAGTGAAGCTCTACAGTGTAAAACCTATAAATGTTTCAATGAATAAAGTGTGTCACTCTTGTTTAAATGCCATATACCAGTTCCTCGTGGTGTGCCTCTAAGCTGCTCTAATGATACTGCTTTTGACTGGCATCTGGCCAAGAAAAAAAGTATGTCAATCATGCTCTGCAACTTTCATCAGCAGTCACTGTGGCGTGATAATAATTAGTGTAATCACTCAGTAAAATACAGGCGGTATGTTTGCTGCTTAAGAGAAACACTTTGCATCAGCGCACCAAGACCTTAGCTGTGCCATCTGTGAGAAAGAATCAGTCATTTGAACACCAGTAAAAGGCCATTTGTAAATATGCTGGCAGAGTTGTCATATAAAAAGGGACACAACTCTGGTAGAGCTGCAAACTCAGTTGAACAACACTGAAACACTGTCATGCTGTTTATAAGTGGCACAAAGCAATAACACTCAGCAGTGGCTTATGTCTGAACTAAGACTGGCAAGCCTTCTGGTACTTTCCAGTTTCAGTATCATTTCCAAGTAAATGACTGTGAAGCTCATGTGCATTTTGGGCCTTTGCTTCCAGACCTCTCTAACCCTTCCGGTGGGAGTATGTTGATGTAGTTTAATGGATCATGGTCACAGTGCCAAGAACAGTTAGGTCTGAAATGATGTGAGGCACTGTGCCTATCATTAAAAAAGATTTGTATGTTCATCTTATTATTAATTTAAATGTAATGTTGGTCAGAGTGGTAGTTCATTTATATATACAAAAAGATACTAAAACTGCTATGGGATCACAGTGTTTAAAGGGATATTCCGGTGTAAAATTAATTTAGGGTCAAACACACCGTAACACCAAGCTAGACAACCTCTCGAGAGATGAATGTTGCCGACCGCTTGCTTCACTGGTTATACTAACTTTAGTAAAAACAGCACGATAGCAATACACAGCGGTCTGAGGAGCCACGCCCTTAACTAAAAAGCCACTCTATAGCCACAAATATTTCTCAGAACAGCAACTAACTTCATCAACAGTACATATAGGGTCCCAGCCATAGTACTAGCCACCAAACATCTTTTTAACTTTGCCTAATTTCTTTAGCAAAGAGACTAAACACAACTCACCTACTCTCTTCCGGCAGCCACTGGTTTGTACGGAGACCTCAGACGAGTCCATTTCTGACTGCTGCGAGGTGACACAGGTCAGGGAACATTTATGATCACTTCTTCATGGAAATGCAATCAGACCAGATGCTAACGCAAAAGAACTACTGTGTCTGCAGTGTAAAATGATTAATATGGTAATTATTACTTTAAGGAAATGATAAAGAAATGATCATAAATGTTCCTTGAGCTGCGTCATCCCACTGCAGTCCATAATGGACTTATCTGAGGTCCGTACAAACAAGTGGCTGCTGGAAGAGGGTGGTTGTGTTTAGTCTTTTTGCTTATGAAATCAGGCAAAGCTAAAAATATGTTTGATGGCTAGTGCTGTGGCTGGAACCCTATATGTACTGTTGATGAAGTTAGGTGCTGTTCTGAGAATTATATGTGGCTGTAGAGTGGCTTTTTGGCTGAGGTTTGTGTGTGGCTCCTGAGACCGCTGTGTATTGCTATTGTGCGGTCATCACTAAAGTTGGTATAACTAGAGAAGCAAGCGGCCGGCAACATTCACCTCTTGACGAGGTGTCTAACTCGGTGTTATGGTATGTTTGACCCTAACTTAATTTTACGCCGAATATCCCTTTCAGACACCCAAGAGCATTGGGAAGGGGGAGCAAAATTTCAGAGTAGCAGGTTTCAGGTTTTATACATAGTTTTTTGGATTCTTCAGTTTAAGACGACCTAAAATGTTATCTTTAAAGCATCAACGATGAGTGACTTATCTCTCAATTAAGGTAAATATCAACACATTAAGAATAGTATCTTCATGTTAAACAAACTACAAATAGAGAGTATGTGTTTATCAACGACCTGTTGATTCAGCTGTCATCCCATTTCTGGGCTGTCTAAATGAATCAGTATAAACATGAGAAACAGCTTTTGAAGTTATGAAGGGGAGTTTAACAGTGGTCTCTCGGCTGAATAATGAGCTGTCATCTCTGCTGATTTCTTGTCAGAGCTTTGTGAAGGCTTCTCAGAGCTGCACTTTTTGTGAACTTAAATCTTTGCGGTCTATTCCAGGAGACAAAGAAAACCCTCTCACCCGTCCCTCATTAATATCCAGTAAGTCCTCTCTAAAAGCTGTATTATGTAATCTGTCCCACCCAGGTGAAAACTTGGGGAGTAAATGGCACTAATCTTGTCATTTACCTGTATTAACCTATTGGCACAGGGCATCTCAAGCTGCCACTTTTGGGGATGAGTGCATGCCTTTTTTATTCTCACACTAAATCAACTGCTGACATTTATAGAAAAGGTCTGTCTGCTAGCAAGAAAAATCTTCATTATCTGTCCCACTGCTGCCAGAATAACACAATCCTAAAATAAGTGACGCAAGCAGGCACACATGTTCACCACTGCTGCTATGATCTGTCCTTATCGGCTTTCTATGTCGCTGTTATTTTTCACCCAGTACTCTGACTCCTGATTGTTAATAGGACCTGCTGTGAACATCCTGCGTCAACCCATCGTCATTCCAGTCCCCTACAGTTGTAACAATTACACCCCTGCGCCACTACTCTTTTCATCATGTAATTCCACTAGTCACACATTTTTCAGCAGCTCTGTGTGAACAAAACATTACCATGAGCTCACCCGTAAAAGCTGAAATCTATTTTTGCGTGTTCAGAAC